AAAGCCTTGACAACCACTCCCTCATAAAGGAGCATCACTGGAGTTGATAGACCTCATTCAAGGATACGTATGTGTGGGTAAATCCCCCTTCAAAATAAAAAGAATGGGTCCCAGAGACAAAGCGTTCCTCCCCAAATCTCATCAAGTCATTCTCTCTGTGAAAGGTCACTGATTCATGGGAAAGAAAGTTCTTATCTCTCATTAGTTAAACAGATTTTTGCAGCTGGTTAAAACTTTATAAATTAAAAAACTCGAATTGAGGCATCTCTAAGACTCGAATAGCTTGTAAGATTTGTGATCTCTATAGTAGTGTGGATGGTCGAGGGAACGGAAACGTATTCCAATTATCTCGATGACTCATCATAGCCCCTCGTGCACGAAAGAGACTTACCAGAACTGTAGCACTCTGCTTTATAGTCTTGGCATTGTTGTCAATCCATAAATTCAGTCTATTTCTAAACGCGAGTGAATGTTTTCTGGATTGAGATTAGAAAATATTCCTAGGAAAAAAATATTCCAAAAATTCCGAAATAGATGCGTCCCTAACCAGTGGGCAAGAATTCTTACTTAGTGGATTAAAAAATAGCAATTACTACTATTTTCATTTAATTTATGACCATCAATACAACCAAATTGGGATAAATGTTGAAGAAATATCCGGGATTCCAGTGCACTCCTTTTTAAGCGTGGGTACTCGTTTGTTTACTTAAGTCCAATATACTTAAATGTGATCTTATCAAGACCTTTTATCCTCTTGGCCTTTGTACTTAGGTTCAAAATGTTACATCTACCGTAATGGAATAGCATTTCAGATTCTTGAAGTGGTAAGGCTGTTGTGATGAACTTTTAAAATCCACAAGTCGGTGCTTCTCCAAAAAAGGCTAATCTTAATTCCTCATTTATATAACTAGAAATCATTAAATTCTAATTGAACCATATACGGTACATCTTAACTGATATTATTCCACGTTAATTAAAAACACATTGATAGGGAGAAAAATATACTACATAATATCGATATCGTCTATGGATGGTGTTTAATATTTTCACAATCGCACTTCATTTTCTTACCACATTTATTGTTGTCTTAATTGGCTTATTGATTTTCCAGCCTTCTTAACTTCAATCTTCTCCCCTTTACGTCCATATTGGGCTTCTCGCCCTGTAAGTTATCGATCGTTTCTTCTACCTGCCTCCAATTACCTCGTGTTGGGCCATACTCAGCAGTTCAGTCGTACTTTAGCCTCTAAAAATCTCAAAAGACAATCAATTCGGTGTTTTCTGCTGTAGTGAACACATGGCCATCGTCTCTGAAAGCCTTTCTATGTTGTTTTAGTAAAGTTGGTAAAGACAAAAGACAAAATGATTTAGATGGTCTTCCTTTCTTTCACTCAAGCTGTTGTAATACAACGCATATCCTGATTTTATACGTGAAATCAAATACCCAGATATTAATTACGGTTTTAGATCACTTTCGATTTTTAACATGGATTATTGTAAAACGTAAAATTGTTTAATTTAGATTTCTTAATATATTTACACTTTGGCAAATACATAATGGCATGTACTGTTAATCGCTAGTCTGGTAGGATTTTATTCAATTTGTGGTACTTCTGTTAGATATAATCGAGTTAAATTCTGTATAATTGGTCAGTTTGTTTCCTTTTCAGTAGATCTTATAAAGTTCAAGATCATATGGTCAATATTGTCCATTTTTCCTGTTGCACTCTGTCTAAACTTAATCATTTACATTGGTTGAATATACGCTGAAAAAACCGACGTTCCTAGTCTACATATGTAATAGGGATTGGTGGCAGAAGTGTTGTCTTGCCTTCTGACTTCAAATGCTTATTTGCCCTAAGCAAGTGAACAGATAATTATTTAATCTGGACTTATTTTATCTTGATTATCATGATTCCGGTTGCGGAGTTACCAACCAATATCAAGGTCATTGCAACCCCTATTATCTAAACTCTAAACCCCACTATGAAACTAACTAGTTTTTCTACATTCCGCTTTGATTTATCTATTGAATTTTCTATTCACTTATTCATAAATGGAAGGAAAATATTACAACTATTGGTTTATATTCATTGGAAGAAATTAGATGCACGAGAGTTAAAACGCCAAATTAACATCTATGACCTTATTCAAATTTGTCATTCTAATGGCAGACTCCCTTGAAGTCTTATTTGGAAGCATGATAATGGCGATCATCTTTTATCGTTCAGGATTTCCTGGTGGTCAACACAATTTTGGCCACCATTCAGACTTGGTCCATGTTATAAGAGCATGAGATATCAAGCCATTAAGTATGGAAGACCTTGCTTCCTCAGCTGAATCATTGGTGATTAAAGTTAATGAACAGGAATAACCTGGTGGGAACGGAAATATCTTTCCATAAGGAAACCGAGAGAGTGGTGATGGGAAGGGGGGGAGACGAAGGCAGGTCAAATTTATTTTGACAGCTGACACACTTCGCGTGTGGCAAACTGTCGTGTTTTTGGGCCAATTTTTTGTTTCAGACAACCAAAACGACTAAACTAGGCAACTGCACTATCATCCACAGATACAACAATGACAGCTACTGTTGGTCGAAAATTCGGCATTATACTTAGAAAAATGTGTCAATGCTGTTATTCTACAAAGGAGGTCATGCAGAAGAGTTAATTCCTAGACCCATTGCTTCTCTGCCTACCCTATCATCAGTCACTAAGGTATCGATTTCCAAGTACTCGCCTTTCCGCCACATCTGACGACATGTTTGAGAAATACTTTTTTATTTTAACAACTAAATGATTTATTTATTATTCACATATACACATGCCTGCTTTGTCTGGTTTAGGAGTTGGTCATGAAATTCTATTTAATATGAGTCTGTGTTTCACCATCTTTGCACTCAAAGAAAGTAATTAAGTTAGTACAAGAGAGACAGGCTCATCTTCTAATTACGATTTTCAACCAGACCACATGGCTGACTTTTTCCGCATAGCAACGAATCAGCAACAAGGAAATGGGGGGGGGGGTATTTCAGCTAGCTGTCAAGGCTCTGATTAAGCGAACACCTGTTTACGCACGAGAATAGAGGAAATTAGTGGAAGGATAACCCACAGGGCCAATGGCCCTCTATTTTGAAAGGTGTCTAGGTTTGGCGGGTAATCAGAGGGATGATATACAGACAGACTGTTGGCTAGATAAGGGTGTGATATTTCAGTGAAGTGAGCAGCCTCCAACTCATTAATCAGTCGGCTTCGCAGGTGTGAATTAGTCACACAAAGAGAGATGCAAAGAGAAAATTCTTAAACTGTGGCCTTGAAAACGGCGCATCGACACTTTTGTGCCCGATAATGGCTAAAATCCTTTTTGTAATCCCAAAAGCTAAGGTTCAAAATCAAAATCAACTTTGAATACCATTTGTGACCATGTACCACAAATTAAATGAGTAAGTGTCCTTATTCTAGTTTTTTTCTTTTCTACACTCTGTCAAAAAATCGACAGACTTTGTTTGGACAGCTGCTCGAATTATTTGTAAGTATACCTGCAAACTCCTACTTGTTTTAAATCCCGTCTTTCGAAGTATGGGGAGGACTGCATGATTTTCATGCATGAAATCAATAAATTGTTATAGAGCTCTCCTGCATGTGTATTATCTTCAAGCCAGGACGCTATTTCAGTTATAACGCCAACTTGCAAAGTTTTGTGCTATGTTTTAGTGGATAAAATATTGATAATCGATCTTGCTGTCATCTTACTAAGTTATATGCTCTTTAATGTTATACGAATAAATTATGAATATTCTTACTTCTAAAATTGATTAAATTATTACGTTCAGATTATTTCAAAGTAACAATGCCGTTTCTTTAATTTGGGTCTTAAATTAACATAACTAATAATTCAACCGTAAATTATGGACAGAAGTCACTGGCAATTCAACTTAAAAAAAACTATGAAAAATTTGATTCAGAAAGCAATTAACTCGAGGATGTGTGCCGAATTCCGGACTAGTAAATTGCAATTTTCTGCTCCAGTTCAAAAAGCTAATGAGCTTCGATAACTATGTGGTTTCCTTCAAATGAGGCCAACCATAATCTAATACATGACCTCTTATCGTCACCCTCATCATCTTCCTACGTAATTCGTTCTTTCAAAATTAGGTCACTAAGTTTGTTAGACTTGGTATAAGTTTTCTTAGACCTAGCAGATCATACGCGTGCGTTTTAAATAGAATGCTGGTATTATTTTGGTCGCACACAGCTAGTAAGTTCAAATATCAATTAACGTCTGTCGTTCATTAACTGAATACTTGGAAGCAAATTAAATTCATATTTGTGAATATATTGTAGCTTCAAAAGGAGGGGTTTAAAAAAATTTGCCTGATATTTGACATAGAGTGCTAAAATTAGATCGATTTCTACCTCAACTTACGAAGAATGCATCTCGCTATAGATGATACAATCTATAATTCCGGTAAATTTCACGGTTAAATATCGTCTTTTTAAGTTACCAGGCCAAACTCTTTTACTAATTATATAATATTAACTTTGCTTAAATAGATCGTATTTGTAACACATTATCTTAAAGTTAACATGACAATTTCCCCACTTCTCCGTTTTCCTTACCCCCCCCCCCAAAAAAAAATTAAGGGTACTTTCTCAGTCTACTGAAATGAAATTTCCGAGATTAATTTTGACTAATCATTACACAAGATTGGTAACCAGTTAATAGGGTTAAAAGGACTTCCCGTTACCTACACCGTATTACTTTCAGTCTCTCCCCTTGCTAAGACGACGTTTCGAAACGTCAATGAATAATCTTAGTAAGAAAGCCAATGAATTCATTCAAATATAGAGTTCTGCTTAAAAAAAAACATATGTACAAACGTACTGAAGACATTAAATTCGTATCTTGGGAGTTTGGGTTGGCTATTTACAGAGTAGTCACACACGCACACACACCAAGGATTACTCGGTGAGACACTTGGGGAATGGGACGTCTGTTGTCTAGAAAACCCCCAGGGCTGTGATAAGAGAAGACGAGGCATTGTCAGACACAATTCCCGATTCATGAAGAGGTGACACACTACTAGGTGGAGGTGGAGTTGATTTCTCATGATCGATCACTGAAGATGTCATGATAAGATGAAGTCCTCCCGACACCTTCTGCCTATGTTGTTGTTGAACAGATGAAGTGGAACTAGAGAACCGCGGAGAGCTTCCAAGATTACTTGGGGATGATTGACCAGAGTGCAGATGGTGGGGAGACTCCCTAGCTGTGGCTGCATATCCGTTAAAGAGAGTAGGAACAGTTGGATTGGAAGCTGAAGATACCTGTCTAAGCCGTTCGTCTAAAGTCTGAAGATTATGAGGGTAGGGAGGAGGAGCTAACTTTTGGCCAAGATTATACAAGCGTTCACTTGTAGACATCTTTTCAATTACAACAGGAAGTTGTTCACTATAAGCTGTACTTCCCACTTCGAGACTATTATAAGAGAATGTGTTTTGCTTAGAAAATCCGGAATAATGAGATTTTCCTGCATCAGAAAGTGGAGGACTCGTAACAACGCTATCCATATGGGACGTGATCTTATTTCTCCTCTGTTTTCTCTGTTTTCGACATGCTTGACAAGAGAGGATGGTTGTCGAGGTAACGATGAGCGTGAGGACAGCGCAAACCACAATAATAATGAGATAAACCTTATTTTGAGAAAGAACACCACGTATACCTTCTCCAGGCCCCTCTTCCTCCGTTGATTTTAATTGTGAAGTAGATTCGGAATTATCCACAGGGTGTTTAAGTGAGCCGTGGCTGTTAGGTAAGGGAAGTCTTGGACAAGCAAGGTCAATGAATGGAGCTATTGTTGTACTGGATATATCATCTTGTCGACCATACAGAGCTCTCAGACGTAGTTTATTAATTCCCACAATTGTATCATCGTTGGGGATTCGAACCACTGTCTTCATGGGTAGCAATTCGCCTTCATCTCGAGGTTTATGAACAATACTCACGGTCTCTGGGTCACTTTCTTCATAACTAGTAACAAATTCGTCAAAAGCAGAAGGAATAATAACCAGAAGCGGATTTTCCAGGAGGCTTAACTCACGAATATGCTTAATTCCACGGAAGGCCTGATCCGAGATCACAGTTAGAAGGTTCCGGCTTAAATCGAGGGATTTTAATTGGGGAAATCCAGAGAAAGCCCCCTCTGGTAAACAAATGATCCGATTGTTGGATAAATTAAGTCGTTGAAATCTACCACCCCTTTGAGCGAGAACCATCCTCTTGAAAGCTATGTAAGGAACTTCTTTCAACTGATTTCCTGAAAGATCGAGTTCTTGCAACTGACGAAGATCCATTAAGGCTTCCGCGTTGATATTAGAGATTCCCAGATTGGATAATTCGAGCTGACGGAGAGCTTGAAGACCATACAACATCCCCGGAGTAAGAGAGACTAACGGAGGATGACCAGTCGGCAAACTGGAAATAGAAAGTCTTCGCAGTTTCGATAGTGGTTGGAAGGCTCCTCCAATAATAACACTGATTGGATTTCTTTGTAAATTTAACTCCTCTAACAACTCCAGGCCAACAAACATATCAGCCCGGAGTTCTCTGATAAGATTTCCAGCAAGATTAAGTGTCTTAATACCACGAAGATTTTTAAAGCAGCCGGAACGCAGATTCTTCAATCGGTTATTACTCAAATCTAGCTCATCTAGCCTACTGTTTGGTTCCGAAAGCCCGGAAAATTCTGCTCCAGTCAGAGTTGTCAAGCCGTTTCCAGAAAGATTTAGCTGCCTCAAACTTGCAGTCAGACCGGAGAACACACCTTTAGGAAGGGTCGTTAGAGAAGGGTCACTCGTAATTTCCAAAACTTCTAAATTAGGAAGCCCATTAAATGCACGACCATTTTGAGCAAGTTTAGTTTGACTGGGAGCATGAATTCGAAAGCCAATGAGATTGTGACAAGGTTTTTGGTAGAAAGCATTATCTCCACTAATTTGGCTTCCATTGATATGAACTTGAAATACCTCACCTTGACAACAATAGGCCAAGATATTGGAAAGACTATCATCTTGTGATATGTTGGTATCTTCTACACAGAAACAACTATCGCCTTCAATTTTGCAGGAGGCATTACAACTGTGAAGAAGAAGAAGTGTGAGGACAGGAAGGGTATGAATGAAGTGAATGAGGAGGCGGAGAATAGATAATGGCATTGCGACATTAGAAACCAACTGTAAAATCTCCTAGCATTATCTGAATGCACGTGGTCGTATATTAGCGCAATCAGTACAGCGTAGGTTAGTCTCATTTTCTACTCGTTTCATGATTGGTCAATGTAGCATGCCATTTGCTTATTGGTCAATTTAGTGGCCAATGGGAGGGTAAGAATGCAGTCTGATTGTAGCCATTCAGATGGTGGCTTTCAACCGGCAGTTTACAAGTTAGCTTACTCCCAATTGAAGTGATTTATGAATGTGATAATGAAACGATAACTATAATGTCAAATAATGCAGAAATTGGTTCTATCTACAACTCTGGTTTCAGGTCAAGATAGAGTTTTCTAACCTTTCTCATGAATGCTTTTATGACATTGACCTAACATTCTGAACACTTATAGTGGTATTGCTCATGCAATTTTGCAGGTTTTCGATCAATTCCTAGTGTTTATAAATCCATTTACGACCAGATCGTTTAGGTGTACGTAGATTTCACACCATAACCAAGTGAAACTCATCAATTTGAGTAGTAAATAAACAATTGAATATCTCACCTTGACCATTTATCTTTATTTCCGAAACCAATTTTCTTATTCAGTCTGTTTTTGATTGATTATCTCAAAATAAAATACCTTTCTGTTAGCTGGAAATGGATATTTTTTATCACTTTGTTACTTGTTTCCTTTAATTGGTACATTTATTAAAATATGTTAAATTTCAAAGTATTTGACTTGGGTAATTTCGAATTAAGTACATTTTTAAGACATTTACTTTCTTTATAGTTTCCCGATTTGTGGGGATTTTAGGTGCTAACTAGGGTTATAAAATTTCCCCACCTCGAAGCCTTAGTTAAGATGGTTTATAATCTGTTGACAAGAGAATTTCATTTAAATCCATTTATTCTGTTAAGTCGTTTCCAACTGGGTAATACGAAAAACGAGAATTATTTTACCAATCTCGATTATCAAACCAATTACCAAATGAAATTTAAACTTTCAGTGTATATACGAGGTTAAAACTATATAAGCTTCAATAGGGAGAGCTTTATAGAAAGCTACCTTTTACTTATCTTGTAAGTAAGCAAAGAATTTTTTTCAAGTTCTCCATTTGGGTGGTCTTGGAAACGAGGGACATTTAACGAGAAATCCTACACCAGGTAACGTCTTCTTACTTGTCAAAATGCAATTCTAATTTCTTGTCGCGTTTTTGATGTTTGTTTAACATGCCTGTTTTCTGAAAATGTAGCCTGACGATATGCCAGGAACATGATTTATGAAAGTTTTAGGATGTTTAAATAGGTCCTTTGGATTCATTACCTCAGTCTTATTTTAATGGATGAGATAAGTTATTAGGATGCCACCTCGACTTTTAAGAATTACTAAATTTGACCATTTGGAGCACAAAATATTTCAGGAATAATTTATAAGGTATATGATAGTTAGAGATTTGTCTTGCAGGTCAATAACGACCAATTTCTCACATGTATTATTAAATTAAGTTCCTGACCTCTGACTTAACGCTAACCCAACAGGTATTTTGATGTTAGTTAGAGGAAACTTTCGTTTATATGTAAAAATTGAATTCACCTCCCAAGTTTTTAGGCATTCAGTCAATGTTTTACAAAAATTATGATTCTATTAAAGTCGAAACTAAACCGCAATCAAATGGAGCCTAATTAAAGAGAAGTATTTTATCTACTTCTCCTTTCATTCGATTCCCATCTGATCTAGACACTTTTTCCTCTTCCCGCGTCTACTTTCTTGAAGTTGCCGCCAATTGAGGGGGCGGAATTAACGGCGTCAACTTGGGAGGTCTAAATGGGGGGGGGGGAGGCATAGTGCGAGAAGTTGCCAAGCTCCCTGCCCCTTTCCCCTTCTTTAATCGGAATGTGAGACGTATTCCTCACATCCACATGGCTGTCATCATATTTCGTTGTTAGTCATCTCAGATTTCACTGACTTACGTATTCGCTTAATGGCAAATGGGGGCAGACAAAATTGAACACTGCTTAAGTGGACACTGGAAAAAGTGTTTCATTGGATGATAGGCCCCAGTTAAAAGTTGAGAGAATTTACCACGATAGTATAAATTGCTTTGAGCTAAATTCACGCTACCTGTGATATTGCCATCCTGGCTCTCTACGGTCTTTGGAGGAAAAAACGAGTTGAAGCTGGAAGATCGACCATCCTAAATAAGCAACAGGTCGATTAGAAAATTACTAAGTAATCCAGGGGGGGGGGGAATACTGCAGTTTGAATTTCTGAATAAGAGGTGGTAAATTAAAACGTAAGTAGTCTACAGCATGAATTTAGCGAATTATCTCCTTAATACGCCTTGAATATTGTTGATATGTAATCACCCAAGTGCCCGGGCGTTCAAAAAGAAATTTGGACTATCAGAACTATCCAGAACTCTTGATTTACACTTGGCTCCTTTTTAACTAAGGGACATTTTCCAACTTCTGGTTTTCAATAGCTTCTTCGGGATTATTTATATATTTAATTTTAATTCTAAGAGTACCGATATTAATAAGAACAACTGTAAAATTGAGGTGGTCAGCGGTTTTTAGTAGATAGAATGAAGCATTATTTTAATCGTTTTTAAGATAAATTTAATCAAATTAACTTTAATTAAATGAATTTCATAAGACATAATACGTATCGAAAATATGAAAGCAAAGTTGGAGATTGCCTTTGGCAATTAAAGTAATAACACTAAATCTAAATCCGACATACACAAAATTTATAATTGCCAAAAATCTTGCCTTTTCCATTTTAAGCTTCGATATTTAAGTATAAAATTCGGAAAAGCAAAACCAAATGCTATTTGAACTATTTTTTTAATATATTTCCTTAAAATACTAATTTTAACGGAAATAAAATGTACTTTGTAGTAATTCCTCATTTGCGACATTTATTCCATTTGCAAATCTTCGCTTTCAATTGATCGAAAGTGCGGATCCAATTTTTCTAACGCAAAGGTTATTGATTAGATAGAACTCATTTCGAAAATGAAATCTCTTTGTTTACATTTCTGTAAAGAATGTCAGTCAATCTTATTTTCATAACCTGGGGTGTGCGATAGACTTACCTTCACGTGGTACACTCTGGGCAACGTATACTCATACGACAAAAAAGTCTATTAACTGGCATTTGACTTCTGACTTTAAACTACCACGACCCCCTGGTTGTCATATTCGACCCCTTCCACAGTACTCACCTTACCTTTTTCTCTACCTTTGTGTCTGTCTGCCTCTTTTACATCTGTGAATCGCTCTTCTATTCCCCACCCTCAACTTTCTTCTACTTTGATGAACCTTCCCTCTGTGAAGCCCGAAATCAGCTAAATGGCTAATGATATCTATCAAAACGCCTGCCATTTGAAATAAATATTTTCATAACCTCTTGACAGCGTATGAATTGTTTTTCAATTTTAACTTTTTCACTAAGCTCCCTTATAGCAAATAATCACTTTTTCAAGCAA